GTATTACGGTATGATAGCCGTAATGAGTCTTACTTTTTGTTTGTCTAGTATTTTCATAGCGAAGTATTTGCCGGCCTCGTTGTGGCCCTGTTTGCGCTGCACAAGCATTACCCGTCCGAAAGATCCCGTTCCCAAGGTCTTGATGCGCTCGAAGTCGTCCAGCGATGCCGTGTTGGACGACGGAGTGCTCCACTTCTTCTCGAAGTCCTCCTTCGCTTTCTCCAGAAATATCTTAACTGCAAATACAGGCATCACATCAGACATCACACAACAGTTACTGTCAACACCTATTGCTCAATGATAACCCCATTATTATAAATACCACTAGATTTTGTGTAATTGTATATTTTCTTTTCATATCATTATGAGCAATGACTATCAAATGAATGCTATTTTCATATGATATATATTAGGTTTAAATATTAAGTTTAAATCCAATCCAAATGTCATCAAATGTTCACTTTGTATATATCGTAACATGTGATCAATTCATTCAAGAAGTAATTATCAGTTGTAGTCATACTATCGCAACATATTTTCAAATCTAATTCATATTTTAAATAATCAATTAAATAAACAGAGGGAATGGTAGGCACAGGCATGCAGTGCCTATAGACAGAGTGCCTCACTATGGATAACCATTATATTATAATCACATATTTAAAATCATCCTAATTAAATAAAGCACCTAGATATTTTATTTATTTACACTGAAAATCGTGACTATGTTTATACACTTATATAGTTCACCTTGACAATCGCATCACTTTTTCAGCCCATATAATGACATTAATTGCAATGAATTGATATAAATTGAAATTGTCATTAAAAAGCACTATAAATATTATGGTTTTGTTTTATAATTAGATGACATTGTGCTCTACTATTGGGTATTAGCTTACATACTGTACTGATTCACTGATTGTGTCAGGGCACTTTCTAATTATACCTACAATTCTATTATACAAATCACGACTAAAGGGGTGTACGTGAGAGGGAGGGCAGGGGTGGTGTAGTGGTGGGTGTAGTGGTCAACAATGACCAGGGTGAGGTGCAATATGATAGTAAATACAGTGAATACTGTAGTAATGAATGATTGCGAAAAAGTGTTGTCTATTGAAACACTTGTAATCTGTGTCTCCACTCATAAAACAGTTTATTATAGTTTTGTGGCAATAATTGCAGTGAAATAGTGTTGAGATATGAGTAGGAATTTGTAGTAATTAACTCATATTAACTGATATTAACTATTATTAACTGCAATCATAAGTCACACCCAATCAACACCACTAATAGCTGGCAATGCAGTCATTGTAATGACTGTTGAGATATGAGTAGGAATTTGTAGTAATTAACTCATATTAACTGATATTAACTATTATTAACTGCAATCATAAGTCACACCCAATCAACACCACTAATAGCTGGCAATGCAGTCATTGTAATGACCACTAAATGGCAAACAATATGAATACAAACCAACAATTAGTGTATTGTTTGGTATAAATGTATGTGTGATACGACAACTGATCATGGTGATAATCATAACAATGGTTGGATGGGCTCATTGGGGGTGTAATCATTTGAATGATAGGCACACAAATGTCAGCACTGGTGGTGTACGGGTTTACTCACCATTTTCGGTGGGGTCCCCCTTCTTATTAGAGGGTGTATTACCCATAGCTATATACAACTATATTTACAATATTGCACTAATCATACACTGATCACAATTCACCAAATAGTCAATCACTTGACAACTATAACACCATTATAGCAGTTATAGTAATGCAGTAATGGTTATAAGCACTCAATCAAACACTAATACATACAACACATACAACACAACCACCATTTGGCTCAATATCCAGTCGCTCAACAAATACGTCCGCAAATACGGCATACATTTATAGCACTACTTATGCGTACAGTTCACCGCAAATGCCATTATCATAGTGTCCACAATCCACCCCTACCCCACCCCACCTCACAAATCCGAGTTCATTGAAAATTATATGTCAAACTTTTTAGGTTCATGTCTAAAAATGTAAGCACTTGGACGGGATCAATTAAAACATTTTATGACCTTAAATTATAAATTGCAAATTATACTGGCAAAAATTATATATCAATTTTAAACTTTTAAATATTAAAATAAACTAAATATCGAATTATTAACTGGTTTAATTTTTAGGGTTAAAATTAGCGAAAACTTAATTTA